GTTTGTATATATTTTTTCATTTCCTTGTCCAACCTGGGCTGAACAATATTTTGCGAATTGTCCATTTCCTCAGAGTACTCGCTGCAGCCCTCAGAGGTTTCGATCAAAACTTTCCAGCTGAGAGATGAAGTTACATGAGTTGATCTGCCTTTTTTATATTTTAACATGTTTTTGGATATTTATTAACAATTTAAAGGCAAAATATTAAAGATTAGAGAGATGTTATGAAACAGCTGTAGAAAGACTTCTAGTTCTGCATTCACATTGTGAACAACGTGGGGCTGCTGGTGCAGAAATGCATAGTTTATTTTGACCTTTAAATGTTACACGTCATATGGTTATGTGAATATAAACAAATTATACTAAATATTTTTACAGTAAGAATGAGTCAAAAAAATGCTGGTTAGCTTAGCATTGGACCTAGAAATAAGATTATCCAAACTCAGCATAGCAATGTGTGGTGTCAACCAATGAAAGTTTCTTGAAGGCCAAAGGTGGAGCTCTACGTCAAGTGCTACTACTGCCACTTTTGTCTAGCCTGCAGGTGTCTTCTTTGGAGCTGGTGCATAGTCACACAATACTGGATGATCACAAGGGTTTTTTTTTTCTTTTTTTTTTAGATTTAGCTAGAAAATTTACTTTGCTATGCTAAAGAAAAGATCGCTTGACTGTGCAAGTTGAGAAATTAGGCTAAATGTACCTGCACTGCAACAACATGACAGAAATTGATTGCAATAAACTTGTCAGAATGTTGAATTCAAGCATCCTTTCAGGGTCACGGCTAACTAACATAGTAAGATTTTCCAAAAGAAACACCAGCATTTTTGTTACAAGTTAAGTCTGCTATGACAATATTTCCAGAGAGGAGCTCATCTTTAAATGGGAATTGATTTGAGGTAGACTGGAGGCCACTGTGGCATTGCACTGGCTCAGTCTGAACCAGTCACTGGCCACTTTCAGTGTAACTGGGTGGCTAGCTGGTTTAAGTCCTGATTATAATCGGACATGGACAGATGGAGACATGATGGCAGAGTTGCTATATTTTAATGTAATGTCTCAGCAGATGAGTCCGTTAAGTCAGAAGAAACATGCAGGTCGGCAGATGTCTGGATATACCCTGGCGCTCACTGTCTGACGAAGAAAATTTATGTCACTTAAATACCAGTGGACTGGCTGCAGAAAGTATAATTAAGGCTTAACAACCAGCATAGGCTTTATTAAGAACTCCGTAGACTTATGGGGTCAGGTGTTTCAAAGCTTTACGGAAAGATAAGCTAATAAACTGCTAGCTTAAGTGCACACCAGGGAATTATTCTTAAACACTTGCACAGTTGGGTGATTCTCACAAAGATCCCCCCACATGAGGCAAAATACAAGGCTTCTGGAACATTCATACTATTAAAGATTCAGTATTTTCTAACTTTCAGATGTTAGTTTAAATTTTGCCTTTAAGCTCATCATTTTCCTCCAAACTGTCAAAGAAAGTAGAATCTCGTGTTGCTCAGCTGTGAGGCGGGCCTTACTGCCAGGTAAATGCAACATGTGGACCGTGTAAAGGCTACAAATGCTTGGAACAGTTCTCCAAGGCTTTTAGACCTTTTAAAGAGAAAAATCATACGTGTGTAGGAGGCTTTTACTGTTCGTCTCATTCTAATTTATTTAGAATTATGTTGCACATTGGATTTTAAGTTTAGCTGCATGTTGTTCACAGTGTGAAAGCACGTTTTTGGAGCCAGGGGTTCTTCGAGCTGTTCGCTGCCTTATTTCTGTGGGTTTTTGAACTTTTATAGTGACTGCAGAGGATGTTGGAAAGGTTTCCCGAAAGTTTCTCGTAACTGCTCTCATGACAGACAGAAACACTCAGTCCGCCCAGGTTGGGTCTCTGCTAGCTGTAAATAGGAAAGTTCATATTTTCTATCAATGATGTGCAATTCTCATGAAGGGACAGTTCCTGGAGTCTTTTCTTGTTTTTGATCAGTTTGAAGCAAAACGAGGTTTGAAATGTTTTTGATCTTGTGAACGTCAGAGAAGTCCAGAGGTACACAAGGTTTGATGTTTTAATTATTCTCTCCTTAAAATTATTTTTGGTCTAATTGAGGGTTTATTCAGGGCTGAACAAAGAGTCCAAAACATCACTCACAAACGAAACCAACTGTACCTCAAATTTGTCCAACACCTAAAACCCCCCCACAAAAAAAACATTTTAAACTGTAAATGTTTTTGTCCAGGTGTGTGTTTGTATCATCAGCGCTTGTTTTTGTTGATCTATGTCGGGACAGTCGCCTCCTCATAACTGATTCTATTAAAATCCAGCATAGATGTTGCTAGCTAAAACAAAACGGGCGCATCTCGGTGCTGTTTTACTAGACAGTGAGAAGGAATGTGCGCACACACGAAGAGGGCCTGAAATTAATAGCTAGCCGCCAGTCAAACACAAGCGCTAAATCAGAAGATATTTTTTTTGTAATTTTTTGTTTATTTGAACCAAATCCAAAAAACTGAAAAACAGTATTTTGAGATCTAGGAAGATTTGTGTTTTCAGATTGGGTTGTTGGTTGGCTAAAAAAAAAAAGTTTCAGAGCCCAAAAAACAGAGTTTAATATCATGCGGCTTCATGATGAACAAGTTTACAGCTCACTGATGTTTTATTTATGTCATGTTACAACCTTGAAACCGTGACCTGTGTATCATTTCTTTTGATATGCTGCTCTGGATCGTTCACCTGGAATTAAACTGATGTCTTTTAAACTACTTTGGCTCCTTTTGGTTTTTCACGGTAGTTTGTGTGGTTTTACTTTATTTTAGCATTACATGTACATCAAATAGCGGTAACAACAACAAAGGCAGGAATTTCTAAATATTCTGAACATTATCAGACATGAAACATGAGTCTTTTTAAGTTTTTGCTTTTGCTGTCTCACAAGTGGGCGCTGCAGGTGCACCAGTCTGAGACATGCTGCCTCTCAGCATAGTGACATCTTGTGGCAGCACATTTTTTTGGCAATTGGCATTTTTTTCCAGAGCTGTGATCACAGAAAACAAGTCTGGCACTAAGCTTTGAAACATGAATATTTAATCCATAATTGAACCTACTGTGACGGTGGAGCTGACCCAATTATTGATGCAGCACACCTGAGAGGCCAGTCCCAGTGTATATAAAGACACCTTGACTGAACCAGCGGAGA